GTGGTGGGCAACTGCTTCTCCTTCCTGTTCAACAAGTACCCGGGCCTCGGATGGAACATCCTCAAAGTAGTGTGTTGGATACTGGCCATTATCACTGGCCTGTTAGCTGGGAAGTTTATATTCCACCGCCAGCTCTTTGGTAAGTCATGCGCACAATAATGCACTGGAATGTGCAGAGTAATGGCTTTACTGAACCATCCTCCTCAGTTGTTTTTGTTGTGACCTTTCACTCATGCTCCACTTTTTTGTGAATAGTAATCTAATGGAAGGCCATTTTCACGTCTTTGCAATCAGCTCTCATCTGTGCTCCTGCATCCATCTTTTCTTTTCTGCCTTTCTTCTCACTTCTCATCAGGTCTGGGTCAAACAGTGTTTGCAAATCTCTTCTGTACACTCTGGTGGTACTCAACTACCAGTTATTTTTAATAAGTCGATAAGTCTTCTGATTATTTTCTTTGATTAATCCATTAGCCTATTTATTTAAATGCTTGTTTTGTTGAACCAGCACTCCAAAACTTAAAAAATATTCAGTCACAAAAGGAAAGCAGAAACTTAATTTTGCTAAAATTGATAAAAACTAAAATTAAACTAATCATTTCAGCTCAAGATACAAGTAGATTGGTCAGGTTACTGCAACAGTTGTTGGTGGCAAGACTGTACATCAGAGATCTAGGTGATACATTCTGCTGAATATACATATCAATGCATAATATCTTAATGTGAAAAACATTTATAACATCTTGGCATATAATAGAATTATTACTTTGTTTAATGTACCTTTATGGACCTCTTCCTGCTTGTATCTGATTGTGGTTCTCAACCTTTTTGGCTTGTAACCCATTATAAAGATGCACGACCTACTCACACCCACTCTCCCCTTGCAGGCTGCATATGCAAGAGTGAACAAACAAACAAACAAACCAAAAACGCAAGACAAAATACCTCTTTCAATCTGTTGATTTAAAGGAGAATAAAAAAACATACAAATAAAATAAGTGAAATGATAGACAATAATAAATATGTATAGGAGTATAAATATATTTTAATCACCCAATATATCTTTTTCACAGCGGCATTTTGTAATGTCACAGCAGCTAAAGCATAAGTGTAAATAATAACATTGAAAGAGAACTCCACTAGATTTGCATATATATATTGTCACTTATGATTATGTTTGAGGAAAGGGATCAAGACTGAACCACAGATATCATCTTTGTTTCCCACATGTTCTTCTTGCTTGTAAAAACCCTGACACCTACATTACCCAGAATGCAACTCAACCTGAGCTAGCTACAGAGGTCTGTTAACTTCACTTCTTTCTAACGTCCACACCTCCAGATTTTTTTTCATCCCAAACTTGTAGTCTTCAGCCTTTTTCAGAATTTGCGTGGCCACAAATTACTCTATACAACCTTTTTTTCACAGTGGAGTCCTTGTTAAATAATGGCCACATTGTATTTTGGTGTGTCAGCTTCAGTATTGTGCATGTTGGCTCACTGGAAAGGCTCTGTTACACTAAATGGAACAGAACCTATCTACTTACTCTCACTGGTAACACCTGTGATTACAACAGGCATACTAGCAGGACTCTGATACCCCTAAATGGAATACAGCCATTGTTCATGAATATTTTTAATTACGTTCATGCTTTTCCTGTTAAGACAGGTTGAGAATCTCTGCAACACAACATGCATCACCACCGTATGCTGTTTGAACTTGGTACCGTCTCACTTCCTTCACCTCTCGCACCTCCTCGATGCATTTCCTCTGCTTTTTCACAGACTCACCATCATTCTCACCTCCTCTGACAACCTCTACCTCCTCTCTCTTGTCGCCCTGTTGCCATATTGACTCTGTCCCTTTCACTCTCCGCTCATAAGGCTGTGACTCCAATCTCATAAGCCCTTGATTGTTTTTTTTTGTGCAGCAGTTCACAGCGCTTCCTATTCAACTCACACATTTCATTTCCTACTCACTTCATAACTCACTTATGCCCGGATATTATTGGCCACCCTGGCTTATCTTCTTGGGATGAACCATTAATGACTATAATTGTAGGACAGAGAGAGAGGGAGAGTACTCTGAGTGATCATCTTCTCTGAGCATAAATGGAAAGCCAAGAGTGTGCGATGACATGATGCTCTCTGCAAATACAGAATCCTTTCTAAGAAGGGAAATGGAAAATGGCTTGTGGTTTTCCTGTACACGGTGGACAGTTAGTGGATCAGATAATATCTGTTGTGCTGTCTTCTCAAGTTGCAATCGTTTAATTGGATGTAGTGTTTCCTTACTTCAGCTCTATGATAAAGTTTCTGTTCGTTTGAGTCAGGATCCCACGCAAGGTTACTTTACTGTATACTGTATACGTACAGGGTCCTTGGAGATTTCTAAGGTTTCTAAGGTTTCTAAGCTTGAATCAGGGTTTGCTTAGCTTAGCATAAAGACTGGTAGAAGGGGGGAAAGTTAGCCTGGCTACTGCCTACCAGCACTTCTAAGTTTTACTCATAACAGATTGTGTCTTGTTTGTTTAATCTTTACCTAAACAGAATGTAAAAATGAAGTTGTCATGGGGAGTTAGGTGGAGTGACTTCCTGGAGTCTAGACTGGTTGCCTGGCAAGCTCGTGGTGACGACAGGGCTAAGTGACTAAAAACTAAGATTAGCTTTGTTTATGCTAAAATAAGCCAATTACTGTTTGGCTCTACAGTTATCATCCAAACACGAGAGTGATATCGGTCTTTCCCGTCTAACTCTCGGCAACATAGCAAATAAGTGCATTTTCCAAAATGCCAGACTTTTCCTTAAGATACCTCCCTCTACAATTTCTGCCTCCACTCCAGTATAGTTTGGGTGAACTGATATTTATTTGCAAAAAATACATTTTAAAATTCTAAATTTGAAATCTGTGTTACCCCCACTGTTCATGATGAACAATTTTCATAGGGGCAATTTAAAGTAGAAAGGAGTTCAGATGAAAACTTTTCGTAGTGAGGTCTGTGGATTATCCAAAGTAACCAGGACACCAATCTCAGAGACCAATAACTCAAAAAACAATTATCTGCATGACAAGTAACTAGTAGAGCTTAGCGAGGACATGTTTTTTTTTTTTTTTGTACTGACCTTTTTATTGTCAATACTGTGCAAGCTGGAGAATCTCAATATATTAGTCCACTAGATTTTTTTCATTTGCATGACTCATAATAGTGAAGCAGGTGCTTCATCGCATGAACTCTATTGGGCCCCGGTTTGTACAATAAGGCCCAGTGTATCTGGATCAGGGTCTGTACACTTACGCTGGCTTGAGGGTATAGAGGACAGAAAGAGTACAGCTCATCCTGCAGCCAGGTAACTAATGCGCTTCAACAAGCCTCCGAACAGATGGTTTTTGTTTCTGCGTGTGGGTGTGCGTGTGAGCGAGCAGGTTCGTGTGTGTGTGTGTGTGTGTATGTGTTTGCACTTTTGAGAGTTGAGCATGTGAGAAAAGACAGATGAAGAGAATCTGTGGAAGGGAGGAAAAAAGAGGCTGGTGTTGATAGTTGGAGAGGCGAGACGTGCCCTGCTCGACATTTCAGTAAAGCAGTTATGTAATCACAATCCAGGTGGGGCGTAAGAGCTGTACTCTAAAACCATGCCTACTGTAAAATACATAATCTATTATTGATCTGTCACATAAGCCCACATGGCCCACCTACTGCACATCATGATGTCTTTACTAAAGCTCTGCAGATCTCTCTCTGCTCTCTAAAATGTAGGCGAGCAGTGGCAACACTTCTGGATAGAAATGCAAAGGTTTGAGTACCTGAAAACGCTCTTTGGGAATAATCTGACTGTTGAAAGTGTTTCCTGCAGTCACAATTTGAGAAGGCGTTTTCTGATGCCCTTTCACAAATATAATACCTTGCGTAACTGGAGTCATTTTGAAGCTCATGTTTTCAGCTATGCTTGACTTTGAATCAGCTTGTCACAAACCTGGAACAGACATTGTTTTTGACTGCTGACACATCACCTGCATCATTTATCATTTATAATTTATAATGGCCTAGAAAAACATTTTTATAGAGAATCACACTTCCTCCTCCCTCTAGCGATTGTAGCGTTTTCTTTTCTCTTGTTTTTGCCACAATATTTATCCTCTCAAAAACCCACATAAATATTAATCCAGTTGTCGCGTAAAAAGCTCTTTTGCAGTCTCTAATTCAGTTATGCTGATGTCACGGTGCTATTTAAAGTAGGCAGAGGTGCAGAGTATTGTTCTCTTTTGAGAAAACCGGTATAAACTCTCAATGATGAATAGCTTGTGACAGATTGTGATTTAAGATTACATTTGTGGTTCAAGGAACAACCTATGCTGTTTCATTCAGCCACTCAAGGCTATGTGTGCTCTCTAATGGAATGGGCGGTAGCCAATGACTTCTGGTCATTCAGCGGGAGCCTCGCTGTCATTATGCATTTGTATTAAATCTTAGGTCACAGGGTTTGTGAGCTGTCTATTTCAGTTCGAGTGTGGTTTGTTTGCATTCAGACACGGATTAGATTAAGCCACCTTTTTAAATTTTAAGACAGAGGCTCCTCTGGGCTGATCGTGGTCAAGGGCTTTTCTGTTCGCTTTGCGAGCTTTCACTTACAAATGATTACTAACCAAGAATTTGAAGAAAAGTTAATTTGCTGTCACTTTAAAGGAAGCCCAGTGTAAACACTACTGGATCCCACATGGGAATCGTACAAAAAATGTGCTTTTTGTAAAAGGCATTTGGCTTCTCACAAAATAAAGACTAGTAGACTCAGCCATTAGGCTTAATTTGACAGAGTCTGAAAGTCAGGCTGTAAGACAAGTCAATAATTCACAAGCGTAAAACACAAACTCACTCTCTCTCTCTCACACACACACACTGAGATCACTGACTCAAAGATGGAGATGGATTTTGAGAATAAATTTGAGAAATTCATTGATTCAAGTTGGCACATGTCAATCAGTTCCATAGCCTAGCCAAAGTGACAGCGAAGGTTGCTTAAACCTCGACTGACAACATCCATGAGAACAACAAAATAAGAGCGCTACACTTCAAAGAATGTGGAAATGGAAGAAAAAGTGAAAATCCTGGACATTCAAACCTATATCTAACCTGCTATACATCTCAAA